GGTCTGCAAGAGGGTTCATTTTAAGGGTTCAGGGTTTAGGCTTCAAAGAAGATTTTACGAAGAGCCCAGATGAAGGCCATACTTGCAAGTAGTTGGTAGTTGGTAGGGAATAGGGGAATATAATCCCTACATAATTCCCATATTAGACATTCCCGTATTCCCCAGTAAGCATACCATGAGTGAGGGGGGACAGGGGACTGGGAAAGCGCCGACACATCCATATCTGACATGAGCTGTCGTCGAAAGTCGAAACTCCGAGTATCCCCCTTTTCATACAACCCCTTTTCATCCCCTATATAACCCCCTTTCAGAAGTTTAGACCCTTAACCCTAAACCCCATACAACCCCCTTTATATGTACTGTTATAGTAGTATGGCATTGAGAACACCCCAAGCAACATGCCAAGACCCAATACAAGGAGCCCTGGCTCCCATTCTCATACGGTTTAGGGGTTTATGTTTTAGGGGTTTAGGTTTTAGGGTTTAGGGGTTTAGGGGTTTAGGGCTTATTTAGGGTTTAGGGGTTTAGGTTTTAATTAGGGTAGGTTGGGGGCCCTACTGAGAATCAACTCTTTATGGATTTATAATGATTCTACAGGAGATAAAAGTAGCAAAATTCAACAATATTTTCAAACCTACCCAGGGCTGTGGCCAAATAAACTTTGAGGCTCCCAATCACTTCCACACATGCTGGCGCAGGGTTTGGCGCTTAAGAACAGCTATGAACTAAGTATGGACCAACTACATGTCCGCCAAGCACAGTTCCGCGAGATACAGCTGGGTTCTAAACAAGGTTCATGAAATGTTGCAGTTCTCCATAATTTCCCTCCACCTCCACGTAAGATATGAGAGTTTGGAGGGATTAGTAGTTTTCTGGGTTCTAAACAAGGTTCATGAAAATGTTGCAATTCTCCATCATTTCCCGCAACATCCAAGTAAGATATGCGAGTTTGCAGGGATGGGTGGTTTTCTCGACACGGCTCCGGGCTTCGAGCTCGTCGCTGAGTTCGTCGTTTTACAGGGGTTAAAAAACTCAACAGTATGCGGAGGCTAGGAACGGTGAGCCCCAGCACTTAACTTGTCTTGGAGTTCATCTGTGGGCTCTCAAAGGTTAAATACACGTTTAAGGGTACCACTGGCAGATGGAGAATGCCAATGTTCCAGATTAGCGGCCTAAACCCCCTAATCTCAGATCCTGCCGGATGATCTTTTGACTTAGCGAGCCTACCTACCACCCCCCTAAACCCTAAACCCCTAAACCCTAAACCTACTATAGGCCCCATAGACTTCCGAGATCCTTCAAAGAAGATTTTTGCGGAAACTACTTCTGCAGGCAACTGCCTTCCAGAGTGGGACCCCAATCCATCCAGTCAGGGCTCAGAGGGTTTAGGGTTTAGGATTGGGTGAAACCCTAAACCCTAAACCCATTTGGGACTTCTCCCAAATTGGGATTTTCCTCGGGACCCCACCATGTCTGCCTCGAAATCCCACTCAGACATCGAAGCAACAACCCTAATCTGCGTTGCTGTTAAGGAACCAAAATTAACACATCATAGTATGGGTATATAGTAAATGATAGGGGTTTCCAGGTTTCCTGCTTATAGAGACAATAGCTGGGTTGCTGTTAAGGAAATTAAGCTAAGTTACTATAACAGAGGGTATATAGGGGTTGGGGTTTAGGGTTACCATGCTGAGGAAACCCGATTTGTTCCGATATACGCATAATATGATCATGTGGTTTAAGCTTCTTAACAGCAACCCAGGTGAGCTATAGTCTAAACTTCTAGTTTCCTCTTTAATAATGATTATAGTAAGCAGCTTAAACTATAGCCCAGATAACCCTACACCTCCTACAACCCTAAACCCTAGCCTGAATACCCTAAACTCAAAAGCCTTTCCCTCCAAGAGGCAGGTTTTGCACCCATGCGCGTTGAGACTGGTCCAGTTTCGGTACTCGGACATGCTGGCGATGGTGGCAAAACCTGAGATACGGTGGATAGGGCTTAGGGGTTTGGGGTGGATGAAAAAAAAACATGCATGGCCTTAATATACTATAGCACCATAATTCCCAAAATTTAGGGTACCTAGTGTCATGCAGGATTTTACTATCCACTGTAGGTTTAGGGTTTCGGGTCTTAGGCGTTGGGGTAGGGATCCCTCCCCATAGCAACATGCAAGCCCTAAACGGGGTTGCTGTTAAGGAGCCAAAGCTAAGTTACGAGAATAGCAAATTATTGACTACATACCCATGTACTACGCCCTAAACCCATGTTCTGGTAACTTAGTTCAAGTTCCTCAGCAGCAACCACGTAACGAGGCCCTGTAAAGACCAGTGCCCTGTTTGAAAGGCAGGGTTTGGGGGCCATGCATGCCTAGATTTAGGGTTTAGGGTGTAGGGTCCCAAAAGATTTAGGGTTTAGGGTGTAGGGTCCGAAAACATCCCCAAGAAGATAGCAAGTGCTTTCCTTCCTCTCCGTTCGTTCATTCCCCACTACCAACCAGAAACCTCAAGGACCTCACTGGAATTTAAGGGAATTGAAGGGTTTACGGTTTAGGGAGTCCGAAATGAACACGGAGGTGTAGGGTGCACTTTGAAGTGGAGGGTCTAGGAGTCTAGGCCGCTCGAGCTTTTAAAATAGTTTTAGGGATCAAAGCTCAGAATCTTCAAAGAAAATCTGTTCTGGACAGGCTCTGCCACTGGCACAATGTGCCATTGGGGCACACGCTCTCCTGCACAGGGTTGAAAAACTCTTCGGTTTAGGGCTTTGGGTTTTGGATTTTGGGTTCAATCATTGTTGTTAGGTATGACTCAGGAACAAGTCGAGGCAAGGACACCCTCAAACAGCTGAATGTCCTGAACAAATTAATGATTCCAGAACCCAGTTCTCTTGCCACAAGTTATCCGTGAATCATCCTAAACCCGAAGCCTTAACCCCTACATCCTAAACCCTGCTATCGAGCTCCCTGCACGCAGCAATGACAACAATCCACCCTTAAGAAAACCTGAAACGAACTCTCAGGCAAGGAAACACGGAACTCCTGCAATCACCCAAGGCCAACACAGCCCCAGACCAAATGGGTAGATCTCAAAATTAGGGTCCCTTTTTGGCACCCCTAAATACTAGGTGCCATGATAAAATCTATAACCAAAAGGGGCCCATTGTTTTGAGAGCAACCCATATACATATGTGTTAGGTGCTTCGAGTATTGTAAGACATCTGCTATAAGACATCTAGGTGTGTATTCTTCATTGGCTTTTACTGCTAATATACCGAAACTCGAAACATGTATCCATCAGAAACTGGCCCAGATGTGTCCTTTATAACCCCCTCGAACGAGTTTAGACTATAGCGCATATATCCCCATATATTCGCCCCTAAACCCTAAATCTCTTGTAACCTCCTTAAAGGGAGTGGGTCCTTGAGCATGTAGACGCAAGGCCGGTGGCAAAGAAGCGGATGACCCCAACTTCCCCAACTCCTAGGGTTTAGGGTTTAGGGCTGATACTAAAACGCGGGGTAGGGTTTATGGTTCAGGGTTTAGGGTTTAGGGGCGCTATAAAATTGATTCTTTATGGCTTTATAGGGATTATATAGGAACCAAAGGTAACAAAAGAAACTATTTTTCAGACATACACCCTGTTTAGGGGACCCTAATTACCCTAGACCCTGGGAGCTATGGTAGCAAGATATACTTGGGTGCCTAAATCCTAAACCCAATACCAATATCCCCCATCTATGAGACCCATAACCATAACGCCTGTTGCCAACGAGACTTACTAAGTCAAGAAAGCCTCCAAGTAAACCCTAAACCCAAAATTAGTAGTTTCCATTTCATTGTCCAGGTTCTTTTCCATTTGACTCTCGATTATCGAGGGGATAGCTCAATACCAGGCTTCCCAAGGTGTAGGGTGCATAAGGTCCCTAAACCCTAAACCCTAGTAAGATCTGGGTGTCTCTGAAAAAAGATGGGTCGTCTAAGGAAGGATATGGCTGTTACGAAGGGAGGAATCCCCTCCCCCATGAAACGCCCTCCTAATATTAGATATTCTCATGGTGGTATATGAGAACATATTGGGAACATCTAACATCTAACATCTAAGCCGTAAACCGTAAACGCTAAATCCCTAAACCCTAAACCCTAGACCGGACCTAGGACCAAGGAGAGACCCAGTTCACAACACCTGCCCATTTCGTGGCTGGAGTTTAAAGGTTTAGAGTTTAGGGTTTAATGTTCTTAACTCTTGTTTTTTTGGGGGGGGAGGAAGGGGGGGGGTGTGGTTATGCGGTTTATAGGGTTTAGGGCTTAGGGTTTAGGGTTTAGGCTTCTAATCCAAGTGGGGTTCAGCGTTTAGGGTCTTAACCCTGACACCTGAAACTGCCTAGCAGCTTGCAATCTAGATCCCATAGTCATACCCAACAAAACCATTAACCTGAGCCTTTAGATGCCAGAGCTGAAGCCCGAAGCCCTGACCACCCCCATTATGAGCCATAGTCTAAACTCCTAGTATCCCTTTTGAGGAGCTTAAGCTGTAGCTCATATGAAAGCATTTCCAAAAGACCCCTAAACCCTAAACCCTAAAACACTAAATCTATCCCAGGCTCTCCCATTTCGTCGTTTCTGACCGCTGGTCCTCCTGGCGGCGTTTTTCCGAAAGCTGCCGGGTTTAGGGTTTAGGGTTTGGGGTTCAAAGCCCTGAACCCTAAACCCAAACCCTAAACCTTAGACCCAAACCCTAAACCCTAAACCCTAGACCCCAAACCCTAAACCCTCAACCCCATGCACCCTAAACCTTGAACCCAGGCTTCCGCCTATGGGACGAAGATATTTTGGAGCGCGTGGCCCTG